CCAGCAGCCAGCAGCAGCCAGCAGCCAGCCAGCAGCAGCCAGCCAGCCAGCCAGCCAGCCAGCCAGACAGCCAGCCGCAGCCAGCCAGCCAGCCAGCCAGCCAGCCAGCCAGCAGCAGCGCCAGCCAGCCAAGCCAGCAGCCAGCCAGCCCGCCAGCCAGCCTGCCAGCCAGCCAGGCCAGCCAGCCAGCCCGCCAGCCAGCCAGCCAGCCAGCCAGCCAGCCAGCCAGCCCGCAGCCAGCCAGCCAGCCAGCCAGCAGCCAGCCAGCCAGCCAGCCAGCAAGCCTGCCCGCCAGCCAGCCAGCAGCCAGCCAGCAGCCAGCCAGCCAGCCAGCCAGCCAGCCAGCCAGCCAGCCAGCCAGCCAGCCAGCCAGCCAGCCAGCCAGCCAGAGGGGCAGCCAGCCAGCCAGCCCCAGCCAAGCCAGCCAGCCAGCCAGCCAGCCAGCCAAGCCAGGCCAGCCAGCCAGCAGCCAGCAGCCAGCAGGCCAGCCAGCCAAGCCAGCCAGCAGCAGCAGCCGCCTAGCCAGCCAGCCAGCCAGCCAGCCAGCCGGTTATCCCGCAGTGCCAGTCGTGGAAAGAAGTGTCTATTTACAACAGCCAAGGTTAATTTTTAGTAGCTGAACTATATTCAGCTGACCAGTGTACAGTGAGAGGACTTATAGGAGAAAACCCAAATATATCTATAAACTCAAGCGAAAGTAAGGTTGTAAGTGGTGTTTTCTTTCCTCAGTGTTTTAAAAATGGCTGAGTCCAGCAGACCAGGTCAGGGGTAACAAAAGAACAACCCCAAATAAATGGAATTGAGCGGGATTTGGAAGGAAAAACCTTTGATTTAACTTTACTTGTCTATCAGAATGGAAAAGGAGTTTAGAATTTAATAGGTGAAACAGGACTGTGAAGTGAGGGCAGGAAGGGGAGTGTGTAATAAAGGGTTAACCTGAATGGGGGTGTGAAGTTAAGGGGAAGTGAGCCGTGAAGAGGGGTTTGAAGAAGACAAATTTACTAGTAATTCAGTGGTGATTGCTCTAAAGCCAGATACTAGGGTGTATTAGGGGACTGGAAAAAGAGAAATAAATGTATTGTATATGGTAAAAGAGTGAAAGTGAAAATGCAGGCATAGGGGGGTACAGGCTGCCTTAATTATATTTATCTTTTCTCCTTCATTCCATGAAGAAAGAAATCAGCTCATGGGGGTGAAAAGGCGAATGGGAGTAATAGCAAAACTGCGACAGTAAAAGACCCAACAGTTGCATCCGACCAGAAAAAGTTAAATGTCACTATCGCTGCAAGGTATGGCAAACACCGTAGCCAACAAAAACCGTGGTACACAGTTCTTATTGTGCGCCTCTTAAGTGGTGATATCAAAATTAATCAGACCTAAAAAAACTATTGTGCAGAGCAAAACTGATAGATAGATAATGATGGTCTCGGTAGCTAGGAATAATAACCCTTAACTCATATGTAATGCATACATGGTCAGTGTGAGACATACAGCCATTATTATCTCAACCACTACCAAACAGGTGCATGTACTAAAGTACGCATGAAAAACAAAAGGCACTTATGTAAAATGTGTAATTGGAGGGTGCATGATGATGTATGTACCAATTATAGCACCGGTGCCAGAATTTCACTTTGTGTTGTAACAAATGCACTTTGGCACAGTTACCCTTTAGCAATGATGACATTGTTTTCCTAAATTTTTTCATACATATGACCCATTGCCCATATATTGATGATTATAAATTGTTTTATGAAAACAGGCCTTCACTATATTCATGCAATGCAAGATCACTTCTCCTAAATTGGCTGAGATTTGGATTCTAGATAACAAAATTAGCGGCAGCAGTTATAACCATCTCTGATTCTGGTTGGAGGATATGGTGAACAGAGACGGAAGTCAAATAGGTTACATATAAAAGCTGAGATAGGAAACGAAAGGGTGGTGGAGTCTGTGCCTACATTCGAAATACCTTGCTTACAACCAAGACTGATTTAAATAACAATAACTGGTGATTCTTTGGTTTGAAGTGCTGCTTACCAAGACCAAACCCATCTTAGTAGGGAAAACTAGTTACTGCCCTCCTACCCAGGACAGTTTTTAGATGACTTTTCCCCGGAGTCTTGTCCGGGACTTGAAGACAATTGCGAGACATAATACTGGACGACTTCAATATCTGTTTAGCAGCAAAATAATGGGCTATGCAAATGTATAAGCAAACCCCTTCAGGGCTTTAAATAGTTACACTCAACTATTAATACACCAACCCGGATCACACAGTTCTCAGCCACCCTAATTGACCACATACTCTGTAAAACTGCTCTGAAACATTAGTCAGTCAGCGTCATTACCACAGGTCTTAGTGATATTTCATCATTTACGGCCACTAGGAAAATCACTAGGATAGGTAAGGCCTACACAGAACAATAAAAATGAGGTCAACTAGAAACTACAGTAAAGAATCACTGGCTACACAATTGTGACTGGACAGAGATAACCAAAGTTGCACGGACGTAAACGATGCTGGGGAAAATTCAAAACAGTGTTCAACTGTTATCCTTGATATTATTTGCACCAGTGAAAGAGGTAGGATTAAACGAAGATTGAACCCTGGATGACTACAGAGATATTAGTTAATATGAATTCAGAGACAGCTGCTAAAAAGATTTAAGCAATAAGACGGATATTGCGCACTAAATGAATTCCAAAGGGTGAGGAACAGAGTACAGAGACTTATAAAAGGAGCAAAGGACAAAAGCAACTATTGCTCAACAAAAATTGAAGAGTATAAGCATAACCTCAGAAAGCTCTGGAACAACTAAAAACAGTTGGGGTATAGCCATAGCCAGTAGATAGGTCTAAAATAGTACTCACTATCAATAACAAGTATGCCACGAAACATCTAAGGTGGGCAAATGCTTTAATTCTACTACACATCTGTTGCATCCACACAAGTAAGTAAACTACCAGCTTGACATCAAATACCTTTAACACAGACTCTGGAATAAGTTTTCAAAACATACCTATATCAATAAAGGGGTAACCCCAAAAGTTGTCAAACTAGTAATGCATCTCATGACTTTATTCAAAAAGAACTAAGCAGGTTAAACCCAACTAAGAGCGCTGGCCCGGATAACATCCCGTCTAAGTTCCTAAAAGATGGTGCTTCTGAATTGTCAATCCCTATTGCTCACTTAATAAATCTATCAGTCACCACTAATACTGTACCAGATGGGTTCAAGAAAAATAGTAGGTCTGATGTAAGCAACTATAGGCCTGTTAGTATACTCAGTATAATATCCAAAATTCTAGGGAGGGTAGTGTACTCTCAAGTAGTTAAGCACCTTAATGACAACAATGTTCTCCATAGCTATCAGTCGGGCTTTAGAAGATCTTACTCAACCGACACCTCCCTAATTAATCTGATGGATTACCTGAGAACTGAAATGTCAAAGGGGAACCTCATAGGTATTGTAATCTTAGACCTGCGAAAGGCCTTCGATACTGTCAACCACAATATATTATGTAAGAAACTTCAAGTAATCGGTATAGGTTCTGTAGGACTGATGTTTAATCCTACCTTAGCACAGGAGAACCCAAATTGTCAAAATCAACAAAACGGAATCAGAACCCCTGCCGATAGCATGTGGAGTTTCCAAGGGTAGTATTCTGGGTCCCTTATTATTTTGTTATGTCAATGACATGCCTATCAGTGACAAGTGCAAACTCCTACTGTAGCAGATGACCAGTGCTCTGTTAGTGTCAGGTAAAGACCACAGATAAGTAATATTTTAACACTGGAACTGGAGTCCATGCAGAGATGGTTAGTAGACTACAAGCTATCATTACACCTCAGGAAAACTGAAGCCATTCTCTGGCATGAAACATAAAATGAGAAAGGGTAACTTTTTTAATGTCCCAGTGTAATGGGAACCCTCACTTTGGTTTCTTCAGTAAATTCTGAGGAAATCCCCTTTGACCCCATGCATGTCAGGAGAATTGATAGGGAAACAGTGTAGTAAAGAAAGCGAATGCCAGACTGAAGTTCCTGCATAAGAACAACCGAGACAGTGTCTACCTACAGAGGCTCGCCAGGCCCTATGTCTTAGCTCTTATACAATGCCATATGGATTATGCTTGCTCTTCATGGTACTCTGCCTTGACAAAAAAACTGAAAAATAGAATGGAAATCACCCAGAACAAAATTGTAAGATTCATCCTGGGGCTGGGACCATAGAGCTATGTAGGCCAGAATGAATTACAGCAGTTGGATTTGCTGCCTTTTAACTGTTGAAGACAGAGTAAAACAAAACTAAAGCTAAATCACGTTATAAAATTGCTCACAGTGTCCAGAATATCTTGCTGTCAATTTTGTCAAGGTTGGGAACCAAAGCGCTGTATAGCCCTTGTGGCTTAGCGCTTCTTTTTTATTATAATAATAATAATGGGAACCAAAGCAATCATAGTACTAGGGGGAGAGAGCACAACTTTGTAGTACCCACAGTCATTGGCCAGGCTTCAAACACCTTTTATTGTACAGCAATAAAGGAATGGAACAGACTACCCGCACATGTCAGAGCCAGTCATAGCATGAACCAGTTCAAGAAGAGTGCCAAAAGGTCTCTGATGAACGTAGCTACAGAAAGGGAGGGAAATGATTTTCTATTTTTTAGGTAACATACGTGTAACTTTTACCTTATTCCTAGTAATGACCCTCGTATTGTAGATAGTCCTTTTAGTATGATAATAAGATGTTATCTTCATTATAGAATAATAAAAAAATATTATAACCTTTATATTATAATAATAAGGTAAAAGGACCCCAATGGAAATAAGTCACTCTGTCTGACTTTTTTGGGTTATCCTAGGTTCTCTACACATATGCTGCTATGTATGATAATTCTATGTAACTGTATTTGTGTATGCCTGAATAAACTTACTTACTTACTTATGATCCTGGAGGCCCCAGCAATGTGAAGAGTATGTTACATTTAGTCAACATGTCATATACCCATATAGGTATGCCCTCCCAATCAGCAAACCAGCAATTAAGAGTATAGCAAGATGGGCCCCACTGTTGTGCTAAACCGCTTACTTCAATCCAACCAGTCACGAGAAAACCCACCAATTTTGTAAAGCGACATCTGGGACTTCTGAATCAACATTGGTAGACTTCCCACAGTCTAGTAGGGGATGGTTCTCACTGTGTCTGTTGCTTGCATATTGCCTTACTGTACACATTCTCTGTAAATCTACATAGGTTGCACATATCAAGAAAAGTGCAAAGGTTTGCAACAATGCTAGTTCCAGAGCTACGGGGTAGGGTCTGTGAAGAAAGGTTAAGGGAATCATCTGACAAAACTGGAGAACAGGAGGGTCAGGGAGACAAAATAACGACATACAAAATACTGCGTGGAATAGACAAGGTGGACAGACAGGATGTTCCAGAGATGGGACACAGAAACAAGGGAGTCACAATTGGAAGCTGAAGACTCAGATGAGTCAAAGGAATGTTAGGAAGTATTTCTTCAGTCATAGAGTAGTTAGGAAGTGGAATAGTCTGGCAAGCGATGTAGTGGAGGCAGGAACTATACATAGTTTTAAGACTATGTATGATAAAGCTCATGGAGCAGGGAGAGAGAGGACCTAGTAGCAGTCGGTGAAGAGGCAGGGCCAGGAGCTGAGTCTCGACCCCTGCAACCACAATTAGGTGAGTACAGACCAGGCCGTGGGGACATTGACCTCCGAAACTTTCTCCAGGTATAATCCAGGTAAGTACAGTGGACTCCCGAGTTTCAGCAGCCTCGACTTTCCCGAAATTCAACTTTCGGCGAGTTTTTTTTTTGGAAAAATTTGGCCTCGAGTTTCTTGAAAAAACTTGTGTTTCGGCGACCGTCTGGTACCCGTCCACCTGTCACCGCACACACAAAGCCAGTCTCCCACACCATTCACACTCAGTGTGCCATTGTTTACCAACACATGACCATCACCCCGTGGGTTCATACAATACTTTTCATTAATCATAATCCATTGTTTTTTTGTGCTTGCAACTGCTAAATAGTCATCTGGACCAAGGAAAGCTAGTGCAAGCCCATTGGTAAATAAAAGGGAGTGATGGCGGTTGTGTGAAACGTGGTGGATGACCACAGGGAAGGAGCGAACCACTGAAGAACTTTTTTGCCAAACAAAAGGGGGAGCTTCAGATGGAAACAGCATCACGGAACACAGCCGAGGATCTGGCTTCAGAGGAGGAGGAAGGAGGGAGTGGATGCAGGTGCCTTCTTCAGTGATTAGGGACGTGTGTAGAATGTGGAATGGAGTTGCAAAGTTTTGTTGAAAAAGTATCACATGACCAAGCTGCAACCTGTACAATGGCAGGTTGTTGTGTCCCACTTCAGGAAATCTTAAAGAAACGCAGGAAAAAGGAACTCTCTGGATAGATACTTATGCGCCCGGGGTTTCCAGTGAATCTCAGTTGTTCCAGTGCATATAAAAGAAGAGGGAAGTAACCCGATAAGGACTTGCTACCTAAAGTCCTAATGGAATGGGAGATCCTCCTTACACAAAACAATAGTGTACACCTTCTCCCATCTTCCATCCACCCCAGTATGTCTTCAGTAAAGTTAAGTGTATGTTATTATTACTTTATTTGTAAATGCATGTAACTTGATTTCTGGTTGTTTTATTATGTAACTCTTATTTAATTTGAAAAAATATTTTCTTTTTAATATTTTTGGGTGTCTGGAACGGATTAATGTTTTATTATTATTATTATTCTCACCACTGGGCCGATTCCCACCAAGCAGCGGCGGCCCAAAAAGAAAACTTTCACCATCATTCACTCCATCACTGTCTTGCCAGATGGGGGGGGTGCTTTACAACTACAGTTTTAAACTGGCAACATTAACACCCTCCTTCAGAGTGCAGGCCACTGTACATTCACTTCTCCGGACTCTAGTCCGGCCTGCCGGTCTTCCTGAATCCCTTCATAAATGTTACTTTGCTCCACTCCAACAGCACGCAAGTATTAAAAACCATTTGTCTCCATGCACACCTATCAACACGCACACGCATGCCAGCGGGAAGTCAAAGCCGCACGCCACACAAAACCTCCTTTACCCCCTCCCTCCAACCTTTCCTAGGCCGACCCTACCCCGCCTTCCTTCACTACAGACTGATTACACTCCTTGAAGTCTATTCTGTTTCGCTCCATTCTCTCCACATGTCCAAACCACACAACAACCCTTCTCAGCCCTCTGGACAACAGTTTTGGTAATCCCGCACCTGCCTCCTAACTTCCAAACTATTGAATTCTCCTGCATTATAATTCACACCACACTATGCTCTCAGACATTTGACATCTCCACTGCCTCAGCCTTCTCCTCGCTGCAAACATTCATCTCCATGTTCACACCCTATAGAGCGTTGGTAAACTATACTCTCATACATTCCCCTCTTTCGCCTCCAAGGACAAAGTTCTTTGTCTCATCAGACTCCTAAGTGACCACTCACACTTCCCCTCATCAATTTATGATTCACCATCTTTCATAGACCCATACGTGCACGTCCACTCCCAAATACTGAAATACATTCAACCTCCTCCATACTCTCTCCTCCAATATGATATCCAATCTTTCATCACTAATCTTTTTGTTATCTTCATAAACCTTACTCTTTCCTGTATTCACTTTCAATTTTCTTCTTTGCCACACCCTACCAAATTCATCACCAATCTCTGCAAACTTCTCTTCAGAATCTCCCAAGAGCACAGTGTCATCAGAACAGCGCAACTGTGACACACTCCCACTTTATGTATGAATCTGTATCTTTGAACTCCACGCCTCTTGCAAGAACCTCGCATTTCACTCTCTTACAACCCCATCTATAAATTATTAACAACCACGGTGACATAACAACTCCTTGTCTAAGGCCTAATTTTACTGGGGAAATACTTTCCCTCTTTCATACATACTTAAATTGAGCCTTACTATCCTCGTAAAAACTTATTCACTGCTTTCAGTAAACTACTCCTACACCTAACCTGCAACATCTGCCACATTGCCCCCCTATCCACCTGTCATCCGCCTTTTCCAATCCATAATGCACAAAGGACCTCTTTAGGATTATCTATAATACTGTACACTTATATGTTTCACTGTAAAACTGGTCCAACACACCTCTACCTTTCCTAAAGCCTCCCTTGTTCATTGCTATCTATTCTCCGTCTTACTCTTAATTCTTTCTATAAAACTCTACCATCCGCTTTACAGGTATACTTAAACAGAATTCATCCCCCTATAATTTTTGCACTATCTTTATCCCCTTAGCCTTTATACAATGGATACTAGCATGCTCTCTTGCCAATCCCTAGGTACCTTAACACTCCTCCATACATTCTATTAAATAATTGCACCTACCACTCCAAAAAAACTATATCCCCACCTGCTTTTAACATTCTATCTTTATCCCATCAATCCCGGCTGCCTTACCCCCCTTTCATTTTACCTACTGCCTCACGAACTTCCCCCCACACTCACAACTGGCTCTTCCTCACTCCTACAAGATGTTGTTCCTCCTTGCCCTATACACGAAATCACAGCTTCCCTATCTTCATCAACATTTAACAATTCCTCAAAAATTCCCTCCATCTTCCCAATACCTCTAACTCTCCATTTAATAACTCTCCTCTCCTATTTTTAACTGACAAATCCATTTGTTCTCTAGGCTTTCTTAACTTGTTAATCTCCTCCAAAACTTTTTCTTATTTTTCAACAAAATTTGTTGATAACATCTCACCCACTCTCTCATTTGCTCTCTTTTTACATTGCTTCACCACTCTCTTAACCTCTCTCTTTTTCTCCATATACTCTTCCCTCCTTGCATCACTTCTACTTTGTAAAAACTTCTCATATGCTAACTTTTTCTCCCTTACTACTCTCTTCACATCATCATTCCCCAATCGCTCCTCTCCCTCCCGCACCACTTTCCTGTAACCACAAACTTCTGCTGAACACTCTAACACTACATTTTTAAACCTACCCCATACCTCTTCAACCCCATTGCCTATGCTCTCATTAGCCCATCTATCCTCCAATAGCTGTTTATATCTTACCCTAACTGCCCTCCTCTTTTATTTTATAAACCTTCACCTCCTCTTTCCCTGATGCTTCTATTTTTCCTTGTATCCCATCTACCTTTTACTCTCAGTGTAGCTACAACTAGAAAGTGATCTGATATATCTGTGGCCACTCTATAAACATGTACATCCTGAAGTCTACTCAACAGTCTTTTATCTACCAATACATAATCCAACAAACTACTGTCATTTCGCCCTACATCATATCTTGTATACTTATTTATCCTCTTTTTCTTAAAATATGTATTACCTATAACTAAACCCCTTTCTATACAAAGTTCAATCAAAGGGCTCCCATTATCATTTACACCTGGCACCCCAAACTTACCTACCACACCCTCTCTAAAAGTTTCTCCTACTTTAGCATTCAGGTCCCCTACCACAATTACTCTCTCACTTGGTTCAAAGGCTCCTATACATTCACTTAACATCTCCCAAAATCTCTCTCTCTCCTCTGCATTCCTCTCTTCTCCAGGTGCATACACGCTTATTATGACCCACTTCTCACATCCAACCTTTACTTTAATCCACATAATTTTATTTCCATTATTTCTTATGTGGAAAATGGTTTCGAGTTTCGTGAATTTCGACCTTCGGCGGGCTCTCTGGAACGGATTGATCACGAAACTCGGGGGTCCACTGTACTGGTTTTCAAACAGAGTGGCCGATGTGTGGAACAAACTTCCTAGTAGGGAAATAGAAGCTAGAACCCTGGGTAGCTTTAAAAAGAGATTGGCTAGATATATGAGTGGGAGGGGCTGGGTTTGACTGGTGTCATGGGTACAGGAGTAAATTCTTGGGTACGTTTGGGTAGGGGTGGTTTTGATAAATACTTGCCTTGCATGGGCCAGTAGGCCTTTTGTGGTGTTCCTCCATTCTTATATTCTTATATATTTGCTGAAGGGAAATATATATTTAAGAAGTGTTCTTTGCTGTCTTTTGCTCGTCCTTGCATTGCTAATTGGTTATAGTGCTGACTCAGTTATGAACAGATGCAAAGGCCACAAGATTACACCTGTGTTCATAATAGTGATGAACTCTGAGTATATTGCAATGTACTCTGTGCCCACCACAAAGTAAATGTTATATTGCATAATTCAACCCAACCCATCTAGGGCCAGCCTAAATTTAGTTAGGATTATTTAACATCAATGAATTATAAAACTTTTATGAGATTTATGCTTCACTTGTTTGGTAAGTCATTCTGGTTAATAAATCATGTTGAAAGTTCAACTCAAGAACTACAATATTCTTTACTTGTTCTTTTTCTTCATTTACTTACTCATTTCCCTTCTTTTCTCCTCCCACTCATCATTTTACTTTGCTGATTCAGGTTCACGAGGCAACTTACCCCTTGTTCTTCTCACTGCCCGAGAGTGTGCCTGATGCACGTATGATTGAGGAACCCATCTGGTCCACTTGGGCGGAGTACAAGACTGAAGTCAACGACACCAGGGTACTGGCCCTCGCTAAGGAGATTACAAACCGTGGATTCAACAACAGCCAGGTAGGATTAATATGGATTTCCTTATTTGGGGTCTGATGAACCAAGCAAGGAAAAGGTGGATTTCTTAAGTTGTAGTCTGATCAACTACATAGGAATCAAGATCCTTCAAAATTACCTCTGTTTCACTTGCGTTTGAACAACCTTACAATTTTTAGGCTAAATTTGCCCATTTTGTCACATTTTTTCTTGGGAATGTCTCCTTTTTGTTATTGTTGTGTCACAACCTGGTAGTTGTGGAAAATATTGTTTGATTTCCAGAAGTTACAAACCTTCCCCCAGTTGAGGGAGAAAGGAGGAGGGGGTGTCGAGTGGCCCACCATGCCTGTGGGGGTGCCACATTTCTTTATACCCTCTTAATGTCTAAGACTTAATCTGTAATAAAGACCACACTAGTGTATTATACACTACTACTAATGTGTATTTAAGCTAAGTTAGAGTTAGATTTAATTTGCCTTAGTAGGGTACTGTGCAACTCACATCCTACACAATAGGCCGTAAGTATCCTGCAGCCAGTTTGAGTGCCCACGGCGAGGAACCAGTTGCAAGCCTACTACTGAGGCAGTCACGCCATAGGCAGTGAGAGAAGCTTAATTTCACTATGATCAAGGAATTCTCGCAACTGGACCAGACAGTTGCATGTGACTCACATAGGTATTTCTAGGTGTACCATGGCTTATCACCCTTCCACATGAGTATCTCGCAAGTGTTGAATACAATCATGTAGCTTGGGACCTACGTGCAAAAGGGTGGTCACCACCTTCACCAGAGACCTACAACTGCAACTGACTGTTAAATCACACTGCCAACAGTAAGATATAGTTTTTTTTTTTTTTTAACAAGTTGGCCGTCTCCCACCGAGGCAGGGTGGGGTGGCAGGTCCTGGGCTGAATTTCATAACTGATTCGAGAAGATTCACTAACCCAATCAGTCATAAACACACAGACAACCTCTATTCTACACAGTAGTAACAGTTGTTTAGGAGAACTTTTTATTACATTAGTATTTCTTTTACACCAAACACGCCGGGTTACCATCTGGAAAAGACACAGGTTGTGACAAGACCGGCAAACCCACTACATTTTACACAAAGCTTCATAAACTACACCATGCACTTTAGAAAGCTCCATGTGGGTAAAACGTAATAAAAAATTTTTTTTTTTATCTGTATGTGTCTTTGGCTGTAACAGCCAGACTTCCAACCATCACCACTCACGTAATTACATCTTTATTTTTTCAAATACCAATTTGTTTATATTCTAAATACAGTGGTCCCTCGTTTTTCGTAATTAATCCATTCCTGGAGGAGCTACTATAAACGAAATTTACGATTTGCGAATCAATTTTCCCCATAAGAAATAATGTAAATACAATTAATCCGTTCCTGACACCCAGAAGTATTAAAACAAAAAAATTTTTTACATGAAGTATACATGTAGTACATAAACAATACAATGGGAAATGATGAATGAAACATTAACAGCATAACACTTACCTTTATTGGAGATTCTTCTTAGTGTATGGGAAACTGGAGGAGGAGAGAGATTGGATTGTTTACAGTTCGGAAGGGGAATCCCCTTTCAGCAACACCTCAGGTACCAATTGCTTCTCTGGGGTTGCTTCTCTTCTCTGTTTCTTAATGCCACTAGGACCACCTTGAGAGTCACTGGAGTCCTGTCTCGCAAAGTAACTGTGGAGAGAGCTCTGTTTCTGGCGTCTCTTTAACACTTCCCTAAAATGGCCCAAGACTTTGTCACTGTACATATTTCTCACCTTCTTTACCACAGGCTTGGCACTAGGAGCTTTCTTTGGAGCCATGGTAGCTTATTTAGTACTTGCAAGCACTGAGTGGAATATTATGAAATATTTTGTAGGAGCACTTGAGGGGACCTTCACTCACTGGTAAACAATGCCAGACTGGCTGGGTAGGGAGGCCGCCTTGGCTCACACCGTGCGTACGCGTCCCGGACGAACTGCTATTCGCGAGTCAACCTATGAAAAGCGAGTCCATGTTTATACGAAAATACCCCTATGATTGGCGAAATTTACGATTGCTGAGAACTGCGAAAAGCGAGGGACCACTGTAGTAATAAATAATAATAATAATATTATTATTATTAATAATAATTTTATTTGAACATGATAGAATGTCTGTACAGAGATGGGCAAAATTTGGTTGTGCATGCGGAAAACCCATATTTAGCCAAAGCATTTCGGGCACTGCAGAGCATTTGACGTGTGCGCACCGAGAGCAACAGAGCATGTACATGAGGATGGACGTATATCTCACTTTATGTTCACTTAGAATTTACGTTAATCCCAACATGTCCATATTTGGGATTTAAAAAATATTTGATTGGTAGTGAATAGGTGACTTGCCACCTCAATATCCTTTGTGTATCCATAGGCTTTAAACCCAATTAACCAACTTAATGACTACAGGATACATAAACCCAGAGGTTTATTTCTCTCTCTGTAGATATGCTGAGAGTTTTTATTCTGTCTTAGGGGTTCAGTTATTTTTGTCTGGTGAAAAAGTTATGTGCAGCCTTAATGATCCTATCATAACTGATAGACTTTAAACCCCATTAATATTATATGGGCACATGTATATACACTGAGAGATGTGTCTCTCAGCAAATATATGCTGAGAGTTTACTTTGATCCATAGTTTAGGGATTTAAGCATACTTATCTGGTAGTGAAAAGTGACTTGCAGCCTTGATGACCCTCATTTAGTCGATAAGCTTTGAACCTCATTAGCCAAGCTAATAACATAAACACTATAAATTCTAATTAGTGTATATCTCTTGATGTGTGTGCACTGAGAGCAACTGTATGCATACATGGAGGGGATATATATATCTCTGTGTATAATTTATACGCCTAGAGTTTACGTAAAAATTCTTCCTCCGTAAGTCATGCGTGTCGTAAAAGGCGACTGAAATGCTGGGAGCATGAGGCTAGTGACCCCTTCTCCTGTATATATTACTAACGTTAAAAAGAGAAAATTTTGTTTTTCTTTTTGGGCCACCCTGCCTCCGTGGGATACGGCCGGTGCATTGAAAGAAGAAGTTTACGTTAAGTCCAATATGCCCATAAGTGGGATTAGAGTATTGTTGATTGGTGAACAGTTGACATGTGGCCGTAATGACCATCACATGCCGACAGGCTCACCATAAACTTACACCTATTAATCGGGTCTGTAGTAAACTAGCTTCCTCAACTAGACTGGAAAAAGGTTTAAAGTTTTGTTGTACAACAGAGGATAGAAAAGATTCTATTTTAGATGAAGAACAATATAATGAAAGGAACATGACATGAAACGTCCATGGGGGAAAAAATATCAGGCCATCGTTCAGACTGACTAGAAATCATTGACTTGTTGGCCCTCTCAATAACACAGGAGCTAAAGTTACATTTCCATCATCCTTATGTCTTTTGTTAAGCAGCTTTAATGACTAACTTGTTTCCAGCAGTTCATGATCTCACTCAATGAGTAGGTGAGAATGTGATCCACAAACTGCCAAAGTATTTTTATCATATTTTCTAGCATAAAATGAGATATCTCATTTAATTTAATTATTGACTTATGTGGCCACGAATAATCTGAAGACGCATGCTTTTTTAACAGGTTAGAAAGTGACTCAAAGTGTCTTGAACTTCCAGCAAGCGTGTGTGAGCGTGTTAGATAGGAATAAATGGAGAAGAATGGTTTTTGGGACTTGATGAACTGTTGGAGTGTGAGCATGGTAATATTTATTGAAGGGATTCAGGGAAACTGGTTATTATAGATTTAACCTGACTTGAGTCCTGGAAATGGGAAGTACAGTGTCTGCACTTTAACCCTTAAACTGTCCAAGCAGATCTATGTTCACATGCGTAGTTCTCCAAAAGTAGATCTACGTTTCTTTTACATATTTTCAAATGTAACAAAAAAAAAACGTAGATCAAAGTTTTTTTTACACGTTTTCAAATGTAAAAAAAAAAAAAAAGATCTACTTTTTTTACATACTTTCAAATGTTGAAAAAGCGTAGATCTATGTTTGGACAGTTTAAGGGTAAAAGGAGGGGGTCTGGGATATTGACAGTTTGGAGGAACTTCTAAACTGTCGTATCGGAGCATCTCTGCAAAGACAGTGATTATGTATGAGTGAGGTGAAAGTGTTGAATGCTGATGAAAATATTTTATTTTTGGGGATTTTCTTTCTTTTTGGATCGCCCTGCCTCGGTGGGAGATGGCCGACTTGATGAAAAAAAAGTATATATACACTAGGGCCCCGCTTCACAGCATTTTGCTTTATGGCGTTCCACTAATACGGTCATTTCAAATTATGACCAAAACACACTATACGGCTTCCCCCACCTGACTTTCTGATATGGTCATCACACCTCGCCCGGTTTGTTTACATTCTCCGTGAGCTTCATAAGCACTATTTCTCTACATTATGTCTAGAAACTCCAAAATTTCAAGTGTTTTTAAGAGTTATTTCATATTGTATTTTTTTTTTTTTAACAAGTCGGCCGTCTCCCACCGAGGCAGGGTGACCCAAAAAGAAAGAAAATCCCCAAAAAGAAAATACTTTCATCATCATTCAACACTTTCACCTCACTCACACATAATCACTGTTTTTGCAGAGGTATTCAGAATACAACAGTTTAGAAGTATATATGTACAAAGATACACAACATATCCCTCCAAACTGCCAATATCCCAAACCCCTCCTTTAGCTCTTTGAGGGTCGAGAGGCCCTCTCCCAAACTCATTCTCAGGGTCGAAAATTTAAAAAAAAAAAAAATCTTATGAAATGATAGAGAATCTCTTTCCGATCATAATGACACCAAAAGTATGAAATTTGATGAAAAACTTACGGAATTATGCTCTTGCGAAGTTAGCAGTCTCAAAGTTGGTGATTTCGCCCACTTTGGGCCCTATTTTCGGCCAATTCCAATGTTGCAGTTGACTAAAATCACAGCTATTTCCCTAGAACTCCATTTGTTCTA